TCTCATCGTCTGCTACATACTGTGGTACCAATAACGCCCTCTCCCAAATTTGGCAGTGATCTCTGCCACAGTCTCCGTAGTTGGCGGAGATCCAGGAACTCTCGCGCCAACTGCTGCACCTCAATTGTCGGTGCAAACTCAGCTCGGAACCTGGTCGAGAAGTCATCCCATGACATAGCATCGACCGCATCATCACCCAACTCACTACCGACCTCTTCCCACCAATCACGTGCCCGATCCTTCAACAGGCAGGAAGCATATCTGACCTTCGCCTCATTGGGGCAGAAACTCGTCCTGAATGCACTAGTCATATCCGCTAACCACCTCCTACTGACAATGGGGTCCCTCTCCCCATGAAACGTAGGAGCTCCACATGCACTAAACTCCCGGAAAGTCAGTGTGCGAGTCCCAATGATAGCCATAACCTCCGCACAGAACGCGCCTAAGCGCTCATCCACTATCTCCGAAACACAGCGAGAAATCTCCGATGAAATTAACTCTCGCAACTACTCGCTTATCGGATCAGCATCTGCACCTGAGCCAAAACCCGAACCTGGACCATCTCCCCGAGAGCTCATTTCCAACTGAAACATGACATATCAAAAGTCAAAACATAACAATGGGTCCGTTCCTCATAAGCTTCTTAGATTTCTCCAAGACACTCACCGATTCGAGTATGGATCCTGTGCTTTCAGTAGTACGGGCCCAATACTACCTTCCACACTTATCCATACTTTCCTCAGTAATCATCCTGAATTCTATAAGTTACTTTCTCAATAAAAGCACCAAAACTCACTACACCGCACCACTTGGCTCACTGAAGCATATCCTAGGCTTTACTAGGTTCCCGAACCCACCCAGTCCTCAGCTGCTGAAAGACTCTTACCAATGTCAATTAGCTTCCTCATGAATACAATCACATGCAACAGAGATCAGATAATCCTTCGAGTAAAAGGATCATCCCTAGAATGGTTAGACTCAAACGAGAGTTGCGCAATAGGGTCAAGTCAGTCACTCTGAGATTATCCATCCTGTGTCACATGTGACTTGACATATTCACTTAGTAGTCAATTCACATCACTAAGAGTCCCACAAAGCACAGAGCAAGCAGCATTCAGATAATGGAAAATCTAACCAACCAATCCATTCTATCCTCTTATCAGGAATCTATACTAGCATGTAGTTCAAAGGCTCATACAATCATGCATAACCTAAATAGGCCATCCTACCACTGGCTGATCAGTTCTAGCATGCAAATCTACAAGCTCATATAAGCATACAAAGTCATCTCTCCTAGATCCTTATAATCATATCATATCACATAACAACATGTAATGGTATCTTGGGAACCACTTACTTGAGCTCGGTCGATTGCACGCATCACCCCTTTTTCTCTTTTTAAAACCATTTTTATAAAAAAGATTCTCTTTTGAAAATTTTCATACCAAGTCCTCAGTTTGAGTTCAGACACACCCGAAAGTATGTCTGAATCCCTCAAACCAAGGCTCTGATACCAACTTGTAACATCCCAAAATTCAAGACCAAAAATTTTGTTTTTAATATAAGAAACACTTAATAATTTTGTTCCAGACATTGTACCATTTCATTTAAAACAAAATACCAGAGTCTAATCCCAAAGATCACATAATGCGGAATAACATGGGTGAATGCGCTGCGATCGTCCCAAGCTCCTTTTCTTGAAAACTAGAGATACCTGAAATCAAAACTGTAAATCATAAGCACGAAGCTTAGTGAGTTCCCCAAGTACCACATACCATACATATCAACTGAGCCATACATAACTGTGAGCCATACATATCAATCATATATCAAATAAGTTGTTATGTGCCGCACATAGTCTTGCCGTTATGCCACGGGTCGCCACGTGGTCTTTCTTGCCAAGTCGGGGGCCACCCCCGGGTCTTACAGACAAGTGTCAGGAGCCGCCTCCTGGTCTTCCATGCAAGTATCACAAAGATAACTAGCATACATACTACTCTACTCGGTTAATGAGCATACAATGTGCCAGGATCCACTTCCTGGTCTTTCATACATATTGCCTAGGGCTAACCCCCAGGTCTTCCTATCACATAATAGCATACTGTGTGCCAGGAGCCCTCTCCTGGTCTTTCATGCATAATGCCTAGGGTTAAACCCCGGGTCTTCCTACCATACATAAACTAAATGGGCCGTCATTATGGTCGTAGACCCATACGCACAGTGAGGAGACTCACCTCGAAAGCTGAAGCTTGCTACCCAAACTCCCTAGCTGCTGCCCTGACGGTTTCCCAAACTACCAGTTACCAAACACAACAGCCAATTAGCTACTAAGTTCAAAACTATGAACCATAATCCCATCTTGGGGTAAACTGACCATTTTACCCCAGGCCCAACAAGACTCATAGCTAAGGCCCAAGCCCAAAACCATTAAGGTCCAAAGCCATAATATACATAAAAGCCCAATGTATGGCCCAATTTCCAATTGGTCCCCATTCCTTCGCATGGACCTCAACCTAGGGCCCAATAATGCTTTTCTAGTCCAACAGGTCCAAGTCAAAATCCATATTCTGGTTGACTCAACTCGCCGAGTTGGTCCGTCAAATCGTAGAGTCCTATGAGCCATAAATCCTAAGATCACGATCCAACTCGTCCAGTCCTTCCTCAGGCTCGTCGAGTTCTTCCCTATAGCAGAATCGGGACAAACCGGAACAACTCGTCGAGTTCTTCCTTGCACTCGACGAGTTCCTCAGTCTTCAAAAACTCGAAAAATCTTATCCATTCACTGAGTCATCTCCTAGACTCACTGGGTTTGCTCCGGAGTCAAAAAGGTAGGGAATCACGATCCAACTCGCCGAGTTGTATGAGCAACTCGCCGAGTTTCTCTTAGTCCTCACTCATTCATTCGATTCCAATAGAGTCCAATGCTCCTAATTCATAGATCTGGTTCCCTAGGGCTAGCTTAACACGTAAAGTTGCTAACTTTACGTGTTATGAGCTAGAAACACCAAAAACCAATCCATAAAGGAGATCTAGGGCATGGAGAAAGGCCATGGGTTAATAAAGCTAGCAACTTTGAGCTTCATGAGCTCATATGTGCCTAGATCTGAAGTCCCAACTCCATAATACACTCAAATCCCGAAATGACTTCAAAATTTCCCAAAAGTGACAACCATACTATCCTAAATGAGGATCTAAGTGATAGAAAGCCAAGGTATAAACTTTATACCTCAAATGAGTCCGAGATGTGGCTTGAACTCTGGATCTACTGACTTCCTTTTGAATCCTCAAGCTTCTCCTTCCTTCTCAAGCTTCAAAATCACCAAGAACACACAAAAATGGCTCCAAAACACTCAAGGGTGGATTAGGGTTTCATAGCTAGGGTTTATGACGATGGAGGCAGCAAATGAGGCCAACAAGTGGAGAATAGGATGCTTAAATAGGGTGCAAAACCCCGAAATTAGGGTTTCATTTTCCAGCTCCAACTCGTCGAGTTGGTCCCATAATCCGTGCGGCCATAAAGGTTCCTACACGACGAGTTGGTACCTCCAACTCGTCGAGTAGGCTCTCTAAAAGTGCCCAAAATCTCTAGAACTTCATTCCTGGAAATCGGGGTGTTTCACCCAACTCACCAACTCAGTTTAAATGTATCACATGTAGCGGTGTTAAGACAGTTGAAGGCTTGAATAAATTGTTGAGTGATTGAAGAGAAGACTTGCAATATTATTCAGGGTCGTTAGGTATTTACGTTGTAACGTATGTTGTGTATTAATTACGACATCCTTAAGATTGTTACTTGAGACAATCATTTGTACTCAAAAGATTTTAATATACTTGGATTTTCCGCAAATAAAAGATAATATAATGTGTAAAGAAATTTTTTCGGTTATGAAAATAAAGGATATCACAACTGCATATCTGACTCCCGACTATATATGAATATGTGCCCATGAGGCGGTCGTCGGTATTAGCAATGACTGTTATACGGGTTAGGGTTGGGCCCGTTATACTCTTTGGGTTGGGGCCATTATGTATGTTGGGTTGGGCCCGTTATGTGAGTTAGGGATGGGCCCGTTATGTGAGTTAGGGATGGGCCCGTTATACTCCTCGGGCGGGTCCCGTTATGTGAGTTATGGATGGGCCCATTATACTCCTTGGGCGGGGCCCATTTATGTAGGTTGGGTTGGGCCCGTTATGAATGTTTGGGTTGGGCCCATTGTGTATAATATATGCACGTAGATAGAAGAGTATGTAGGTCGACACTAGAGTCGATGACTTTGTGTGGATGCATTGTATATATGATGGAATATGTGGTACACTGGAGAACTCACTAAGCTTTATGCTTACAGTTGTGGATTAAATGTTTTGCAGGTTGTTCGTGGGAAGAGCTCGGTGGGACTGTACACACGCATCGAAGATATTAAATTCCGTTGTTTTGTAATTCGTCTCTGATAACATTATGGTTTCAAAGAAATGAATATTACTTATTGATATTAAGTTAAAAGGTTTTAGTTGATTAATCTATTTTAAAAATGAAAAATCTATTTTAAATTTTTTTGGAACATTACAATACACGTCTTAACGTTCATTTTTTTGGTAGGGGCCCCTGGGTGGAGCTATTTTTTGTTAGTGTTCATCTTTGATTTTTAACGTCTCTAATTTTTGTGGTTAAGGCTCATCTGCTCATCTTTGGTAGTGTTCCAATTTTAAAAATTTTGTTGTTCAATTGTGTATTGAATTGATCCTTTACAAATGAAATTATGAATTGAAAATTTGTTAAATATCCAAATCTTTTTATGGTGTTTATTGAAATGACGAACATTTGTCTTGTTTAGGCGTATCACAATAATTTAGTATAATTTTATATGTACGTATAATATTACTAATGCAACCATTTTATGTTTATAGGACTTTATAGGAAGAAGAAAAAGAAACACGGCCTAAATCGTGGACGACTATTCACATTGAGTATGTCTGGTTCGTCCTAAATAACTATTAAATACTTTAACAAACTCACTAGAATGTTTTATTTGATGAGATCAAAGTACAAGTGTACACCAATCTTTTTTTTATAGGATTTACATTACAAACCTATTTCAAAATCTGGAAGAATCTCTAGAGACATTTGTTGAAATAACTTGTGCTTAATTAACTAAAACTCTAAAACTTCAACGTTATTTTGAATTTGTATGCAACCAAATTGAATAAAAGCAGCTATTCTCTTCTTGATTTCTCTTGGATTAGCACCAACAACCTTATCCATCACTTCCCATTCTTTATTTTTGTTAGATGTCATCATTAAAAACGTAGGCATAGCTTTTATTTTCATTTTCTCCCTCAACCCCTGTACAATTTCATGTAAAAAAAATATATATATATTAAAATATTAAATAGCCAACTGTTAGTGGAGCCATCTATGGTTTTAATATCATGCTTCTAATTTCAATCAAACATAAAATAAACAAATATTACATAAAGTATATCAGTTGTTATTTAAATAACGTTTTGATATGAATGATTACATTAGTCCTAAATAATTAGTGTTACCTTCACCTCATCCACATCAACGGATAAGAAAGTGGCATCTTTATGTATCAAAGCTTGTTCTTCAAACAATGGCTCCATTGCTGTTGCAGGCTTGCACCACATTGCTGTAAAATTAACTATTATCTGCAAAAGTTTCACAGTAATCAACTATATATACAGTATAATTCATCAATGCATATAAGATATCTCAAGATATTACAAAAACTTAGGTTATAATTGCTTAATGTCCAATGGGTTATATATATTCTTTTACGATATATTTTTTTATTTTTTTAAAGCACTTAACATAAATCTAAATATGAGATAGCTTAAAAAACTTACAGGAGAATCTTGATACATAGGCTTAGATGTGATGTGGTTCCATTTTTCTTGAGAGTCTACTTGCACGACTCTAGATTTGACACCTTTCTTAAGCATTGTTTTTCTTAGGGATTCTTCTTGCTTGAAGGCTTATATATAAACTCGGGTTATTTATAGAAAGTTGAGAGGGAACAACTTCTTTGTGAGCCAATAGTATTTGAAGTCAACTTTAACCCACTTTTTTTATATCAAAAGTAATAATTTTGCCTTCGATATCTAAAAATGTTTGCTATAAATGATAAGATATTTTCTTTGATTACAAAGTGAACTTTATTTTATGTAATCAATCTTTTATTTTAAATATAAATATAGAAAAAAATTAAAATTAATCTAAACTCTAATGTATTTTATTCTTGTCTTTGAGGTTTAATTAGATACCGAGATTCATTTATATGGTATGTATTCACAGTTTAATTTTGTTTCATATTTTAATCTTGTCATTGAAGTTTGCAAATTACCAAGAAATTGTCTGAACTTTGAAAAGAAAAATCGTTTAGATGTATTTGGAACAATAATATATGATTTTGGGTAAATACAAAAATGAAAACCTATTTTAATTTGGTCATCAAAATTTAAAAATCATCAAGAAATTGCTTAAACTTTACAAAAGAACTTGTTTCAGTGATACTAACAAAACCGTTATTTTTTTTTTTTTTGTAATCTTAACATGGTCAATGACTCAATGCAGACAATCAGTAAGATGTAAGATCTATATTAGCTTAAATGAATAAATGACATCGTTTAGGAGAAAAAAAAACATTTTTTTCGTGGATTTGGATTAAAGAAAAGCCTTAAAAGCCTAAAACACGTTTTCCCCATTTTCTATACCATTACATTTATGTGACATGGTTTTTGACCATTTATACTAAGACAAGTTGTCTGATATAATAATTAGAGCGATTTGTTTTATATTTTTTGTATGCGAGATTCACGAGAATTGACTATTTTGTATGCGATTTGTTTTATATTTTTTGTCGATAGAAATTGAAGATTGTTAAAGTTTAAAGTAGGAGGGACAACAGATTAGGTTTAGTTAAATGGGCTTATAATTTCTAACTCAATTCAATTTGTTTAATGAATGGGTTGAAATAGCGTTTGATATGTTTATATTTTTTCACTACCGAACATTTTTAATAAATGTGGATAGACCCGTTCAAATATAAAAAGTTAAATAAATTGAACTTGTATGTTACATATCTCTAATCATTATTCAAATAAAACTAAAAATTTACAAACTCAAATAATTATTGAAGTTTGAAAATAAAAAACTACCGAGCCCAATTGTTCAAATAAAATTAAAAATAATAATATTTAATAAATATAATCATTAAATTGATCGATGGGTTGAAATCAGATTAAAAATTCAAAACATAACTCAACTCAATTAATAAAACGGATTTGGAATCTCATCCTAACATGCTAATTATTGGATTGGATTGATAGATTGGTGGCTTTTTACGTGCTCTAGTTTAAACTTTAAAGACATAGGCATATTGTATATTTGTTTAAAGTAAATAATTTATTATTATTAAGCATCCATTTCAAATTGGTGACAAAAATATAAATTTTAACGGTGAAATTGTTTTTAAGATTATGGTATGCTAGTTATACAAATCAATAATGAAAAATTATATATTTGTGATAAAAATCGATTTTAAAAAAGCAAACATTATAATGTGCAACATAAGAAGCAAACTATTATCAATTATGTGAAAAGATTAATTGTTTAATTGTGGTTGGATAAAGATGGCAACAAACTATATCTCCTAATCCAATTGATTGATATATATATCCTCGTCAGCATTAACATCCATTATTCCTACACGGATCAAACTTATCAGTTAGAGATGCCAAAGAAGGTACTGGAGCCACAGCAAGTGAAACCGGATATTTCCTCTTTTTTTTTTCTCCGGTTAGGTTGATAAGTTGATTAGAAACACTTTTTGTTTAAATTTTTTGAAAACTTGCACAAATAATATGTATCATTAAGTAATAATTAATTTTTGAGGAAATGACACAAAAACTTACAATGTTTTTAAAGTTGGTTGCTTTAGTCCTTAAAATTATTTTCTTGTTTTATAGGGTATAAAGTAGATTATGACTTGTTTTTTTAGTTTTTTCAACCTCTAATAACCGGTACACCATGTGACATGTGACCATTTAGACCCATACAAAACTCAACTTATGCCCCTATAAAGCCAAAATAATAAGTTTGAGGATCATTTAAACCAAAACTCAAAAACACACACTTGTTTTAGTCTCTTCAACCTCTAATAACCGATACACCATGTGCCATGTGATCATTTAGACCCGACAAAACTCAACTTATGCCCACATAAAACCAAAAAAATAAGTTTGGGGATCATTTAAACCAAAACTCAAAAATACACACTTGTTTTAGTCTTTTCAACCTCTAATAACCGATACACCATGTGCCATGTGACCATTTAGACCCGACAAAACTCAACTTATGCCCACATAAAACCAAAAAAATAAGTTTGGGGATCATTTAAACCAAAACTCAACTTATGCCCATGTGACCATTTAGACTCTTCAACCTCTAATAACCGATACACCATGTACCATGTGACCATTTAGACCCGACAAAACTCAACTTATGCCCACATAAAACCAAAAAAATAAGTTTGGGGATCATTTAAACCAAAACTCAACTTATGCCCATGTGACCATTTAGACTCTTCAACCTCTAATAACCGATACACCATGTACCATGTGACCATTTAGACCCGACAAAACTCAACTTATGCCCACATAAAACCAAAAAAATAAGTTTGGGGATCATTTAAACCAAAACTCAACTTATGCCATGTGACCATTTAGACTCTTCAACCTCTAATAACCGATACACCATGTACCATGTGACCATTTAGACCCGACAAAACTCAACTTATGCCCACATAAAACCAAAAAAATAAGTTTGGGGATCATTTAAACCAAAACTCAACTTATGCCCATGTGACCATTTAGACTCTTCAACCTCTAATAACCGATACACCATGTGCCATGTGACCATTTAGACCCGACAAAACTCAACTTGTGCCCACATAAAACCAAAAAAATAAGTTTTGGGATCATTTAAACCAAAACTCAACTTATGCCCATGTGACCATTTAGACTCTTCAACCTCTAATAACCGATACACCATGTGCCATGTGATCATTTAGACCCGACAAAACTCAACTTATGCCCACATAAAACCAAAAAAAAAAAGTTTGGGGATCATTTAAACCAAAACTCAAAAACACACACTTGTTTTAGTCTCTTCAACCTTTAATAACCGATACACCATGTGCCATGTGACCATTTAGACCCGACAAAACTCAACTTATGCCCACATAAAACCAAAAAAATAAGTTTGGGGATCATTTAAACCAAAACTCAAAAACACGCATTGAAAACACACACTTGTTTTAGGTCGACTTCATCTCCGCCATCTCTGAAGATGAAGAAATGGAAGATAAATGAAGAGCTGAAGACATCCCTGAAGATGAAGAAAAATGTGACCAATAGTCCCATTAGTTGAAGATTATTGAGATTCTAATAATTTGGGGTGCTTCTCTTCCAAAATGGTATGATGAACAAGGAAAGATGATGATAGAGCGCTTGTTGTTCCATGGGTGCTAAGTTGTGTTGGACTTGATCTTTAAATGGATAACGTGTGTTGTGTCTCCATAACTTTAGTAGCATAGGTTAGCTTAGCGAAACTCCATAACATAACTTTTGAATGTCATCATGCCTCTATCACATATGCAGCCCATTAAACAGATTAAACTATTAAACAGTTAAACAGGCATCACGTTAACAAACTAGAAGACCATACAAATTGCAGAAAGTAAAGAAATTCACAGGCAACATTTTGATTTCAAAGAATTCAAGTGATGTATCATGTATATGAAGCCAAAAGAAGCATCAATTACCCTAATTGAACGACATTCATATGATCCCTAAAAAAGCAACTTTCAACCACTCAATCCAATCAAGTAACAAATCACATCGCAACTTGAAAAACTTCACATCTTCACGACATTGTATATCACTAGAATGCAATTGAAATCACAAAATGCACATACAAAATCTTTACCTTAGAGTATAACCATAAAATCCTACAATCTGGAAACCTAAACAGCTTCGGTTGCTCTTTAAATTTCGAGGTTTCTATGGAGATTAAGTTGATGCAAATATGACTTATCTGAGTCTATTGGGCCACATGACAGACAGGTCTAATTGTCTAAATCTAAAGCCCACAAAATCTCCATATACATACTACATAGACTTACCATAGAGGTTATCAACTGGCCCAAGTGGCCTATCTGGCTGTCCAAATTACCGAAGTGCCCTCAGTTTAGGATGTCTATTTCGTGGCCGGTAACACCCATCAATCTTCAAAACCCATAACACTCTTATCAGCTAAACACCACCTACAGGCTACAACCATGGCTCCGATGGCAAACCTTAACCAAATTTTCAGCACTTTTCCGGCCATCCCAAAACTTTCCGGCGACGGAAAGTCCCGGCCAGATGCAGGTACAGCCCGTTTGACCGGAATCAATGCGGAGGAAACTCAAAACCACCCATTAAAACCAACAAGAAGACTGGCATTAGGACTCGGCTCTATGGGACTCTTTGCAAATTCCAACATTGCCGTTGTTCTTGCGGAAGATAACGGTTTTTGGCTCACCGGACCTATTCCGATACCCCGGGCCTTAAATAGTAACTCTCTCGTATCCTTCTTTCAAGAAATAACGAATGTTAATTTTAATTTTAAAAGTCAAAACACATCACTTTTCAGCTCAAGATTATTAATCAATATAAATTTTTAATCATGTAGAATGTTTTCCCTTTTGAAGTAGTTAAGATGATATTTAACCTACTGTCGACAAATTCGATAAAAATAAGGAATTTGCTTTGAGTCTGGTGTTAGAATTTTCACGACTTTGACTTCTAAAGTCAAAATTGTTACAGTGATCGATAACTTGGAGACGGGCACACGGTCTTTCTTAAAGACGGGAGTGTACATAGCCGATATTGGGACTAAAGGAAGACAATTTCGGCTAAAGAAGTACGCATTTGATCTTCTAGCATTGGGGGATTTGATAGGTAAAGATGCATGGAATTATGTTCGAAAGTATTTGCGTCTCAAGTCAACGTTCATGTACTTTGACTTTGATAAAGTGATCTCTGCTGCTACATCCGACGAAAAGCCACCACTCCTTGATCTTGCAAATAGATTGTTTGATACGGTTGAAAAGGTAACTAATTCAAAACACCACATACATAGATCAAGTTTATAATCTTGACTTTTGGGCTTGGAAGATCACCGAAGTCAAAAGTCAAACCATACTCACAAATCAATAAATTTGAAAAATAAAGGGTAAAACCGTAAAAGTGCATTTTGTTCTGTATATACGTGTGACTCATCTTTTTTTCACAGCTAGAAGATGCAGTAAAGAAACAAGACCTTCCTCAAACTGAATTATTGTACAAAGACACAACAGTTATTCTTCAAGAAGTTATGACGAAAATGGCATAAAACTTGTCATGACATGAAATGTATGTGCCATGATTGTGAATCATCTTCATCAGCTTTGTTTTTATTGTTAATTGTTTTATATGATGATAGAAATACAACATGTGTTGATCATATACATATTCCAAACTTTTAATGTTCACACATAGTCATATGTTTGTTAGAAATTAGGGGTGGGAAGAAAACTGGTTTGATAATCAATGAATATGGATTTCTTCAGAATTATGTTCTGTATTGATAGTTCTCTCAAATGTATGGGTTAACATGAAAATCAATGAATATGGATTTTTTTGGAGAGTATATGGTATGTTCATGATCCTCGAAGAGTCCTATATATGAGGAGATATAATATAAGTATATATAAGCATATATCTGAAATTTGGATAACGTTGACAAATATATATATATATATATATATATATATATATATATATATATATATATATATATATATATATATATATATCTATATATATATATAATGTATAGATTTTGTCCACAATGGTACTCATGGCACACAAAATCATCTCATTCCCCAAATAAAATTCTTGCATAGTGAATTAAGTTTTCATGTTAAGAACGGCTTACACATTCATACTAATTTACTTCTAAATCTATACATTTTGTCCACAATGGTACTTAAACTTTCAATCTTTGGTTGAAGTGCACATACTATTTTGGCAAAGGTCATTTGATAAGTTTCCATGTGTTATGTATCATCCCAAAATAACGTTCATTTAAAACAAAATTTGAATTTAAAATGTTACATTAATGACAACCAATAAATAAGTTTCCAAAATATTTAAATGTACCTTATATTTTTCTGTAGTTAATTTATTGTATATCTATGTATATAATATGTACAAATATTTATGGTTATGGGATAAAAAGTTACAAACAAAATGCTAAAAAAAATAAAAATAAATAAATAACACATTATTGTTTTTTTTTTCGAACAGTTGAAAAGTATATTAAATTAGACCAAAGCCTAGCAAGGAGCTAGAACAAAACCAGTGTAATGTAGTAAGCATGTTTTGAATCCAAAGAGTGCAATTAATGGAGCACTTTTGGTTCCTAAAGGAATACCACAGGAAAAGAAATTTCAACAATAAATCAAAAATAAAGTCATCAAAAATTCTTTGATCTTGAAATTGAAACTGCCGTGACCATATCAGTATCACTTTTTATCTTTTATTTCAACTTGCAGGAATCATAATGTTGGGTTTTATTTTATATAAGTAGTTGGCCTATGAATCTCTAAAGGTATGTGGTGTATGGCTGTATGCATATGACCATACATGAACATCTTCCATCCACATCCATTTTTGGTGTTGCGTCATCAACCATCTCATATCGCTAATTATACATTGCTTAAATTGAATCTTTCCAAAAAACGCATATATGTTGTCTATGAACAAAACAGTTGACTGCTCTGAATGCTTGATATATAAAAAATAAGGTAAATAGCACAATCTGAGCGACACACGTCAATCCTCCCCAAGACCCACGTGAGATGTCAGTCGAGGAACACTAGCAATATTTTAGGTGTGTCAATGTTTAAACCATATATATTGTATGTGAAATTATTTTTTCAACCGTTGAGTTCCCATGATGGGGACGTACGTTTGATGTATAATGATCAACATTTTTGACTCATGGCCTACATTTTTTTTGAACAACCGAATTATTATTAGAAGACACTAGCATGAAGGTGGACAAACATTAAAAACAAATACAAAATGCAAGTCAAAAGAGCTGAGGGCATTGCAAAAAAAAAAAAACAATAAAAAACAATTAGATTTTACTTTTTGATTCGTATTTGTGAACAAATTAAAAGAATACAGCATGATTATCTCGAAAAAGAATACAACATGATACAAATTAAAAGAATACAACATGATTATCTCGAAAAAGAATACAACATGATTATCACGAAAGTTAGAAAACCATAAATAATAATCCGGTAGGTCCACAAAGTATAGTAGTCATACAAACAACCTCCATCACAACTCTTTTGATCATAGTCAACGACGACGATCCACCCATTCAAGTATATCACGAACTTGACCGATATTAGGGAAGATCAAATCCATCCAAGAGGTCACGTGACTCTATGAACTTGAGATGCTAACTCACAAGACCAGAAAAGTTTACTGGATTCTTCAAAATAGAATGTCAAAGTTTTGAAACCAAGTATATCTCCCAAAGGACGTGCTCATCGTTCATGGGTTCATGTAATTGAATATATTTTGTCTAACATATGTCATGTACATAAATAATCTTTATGGACTCATTACATTAAATTGTGTCCATGCAAAAGATTTTATGATTTGACCGTGAATGTTTTTTATCTTGAATTTCATTCCTATCCCCTTCACCCCCAAAACTTTCTTAAAAAAAAGTTCCCATTTTTATGAACCTTTTAACATGAATCTCAAAAGGTTTTCATTAAATCTTTGAAGAACAAGAAGAAGACGACATGTCAACAGTTTGGTTTTCTTTAAAGAAATCATTCCGCTGTAAAACGGATCCTTCAGAACCGAAATCCAAGAACCATATATCCACCATCTTGACCCGAAAACTAGGAAGGTGGGGTTGTTCAAGAATTATTGCATATCTTCGTCGTCTTTCTTACATTCATAATGGAGTATGATTTTTCCTTGAAATAGTCGACGAAGCTGCTCCCTTTCGAAGACGTCCCCTTTCTCTGTTCATGGAATTTTTTGTGTAACTTTGGGGGCGTGAAGAAAGTATATCAATCGAAAAAAGGGGATGAATTTAAAGCTTATTTTACAAATCAAAGGGAATTGGAAATCTGACTATAATCAATCTTCCTCATACATAATACGTGATTATAGGTTTTGCTCGAGAATCTTGTTAATTTCAAGTTTTTTTTTGTTGCTTAATTAGACGAACTGGGGTTATCCTTGTACGAGACTTGTTTGGATTTTATCATTCTCGATTATTATCAAACGAGATTGTTTGAATTATTTACGAAAAACCTGTCTACGGTTGGCGATGATCAATGTTTTAGGGTGTCATATATTGTTTGATGAGATGATTCGGATTGATATTTTAAGAGAAAATGGGCGCCAAAGTGGTGATTTTATTCATGACAATTATCATTCTACTTTACCCTTTGGCAGAGGCAGTAGAATCAGACAGACATCGCCAACAACTGCCTCCTGACAACCAAATGTATTTGGAGGAGACCATGGATGAGGACACGGTATTACTCCATTGAACTTGATATGAGAAGGACATTGCTTTCCTTTTATGTGAGATCTTGTTGATTAATTAACAAATTGAGTGTTCAAACTGTAGATGCTTTTCTTTTACATAATGTTAGTTTAATTTGTGGAAAATCAAAGAAGCAAATAGTCTCCAATAAGCATCACCAATGCCCACCAGGTGTTTATGAAAAGACTCATTGAAATCCCCTTGTTCCTTGGTATCCATATTCATGTTTTAGAACGTTAGAATCTATTAAAGTGTTGGTTTCAGCTAAAGTTTGATGGTGATAGTCGTTTAGACCTTATTAAGCTGTGTGGATGATGATGCAGGCAGAACTATTATGGGTGAACTGTGGAGCAGAGTTGATGTACACAATGGAGGCTTTTGAAGATCTTGAATATTGTGGTTGTGATAAAAGCATTACAGGAAAAGAAAGAATAATAAAAGCTATAAATGTCCATGACCCACATGTAAAGAAAACTATACTGGATTGCTTGAAGGAGAAACGTATTGTTTTATCCAAACTCAGAAAAGATAAACTTTCTACAACAACAAGTTTGTACGTAGAGTATCTAGTTTCCTTTTTAAGCAAGCCTAATATTATTATTGATCATATTCATGGAAGACGAAAGTTGGGTGAAACTGTTAGCCAAGGCACGGTTGTTGTTGCTGTAATCGTTACTGCAATCTTCACTATGTGTCTCGCTGGCCTTCTCTTTTATTGTTACATTAGAAAGCATGGTGGAATTCAAAATAATGATGAAAAGCCTCTTCTCAGTTTAAGTATGGGTAAGAAGAAATTAGAATTCCATTATCATTTCCATTTTTTATGCTGAGTCAGCAATGCATTCATCTTTCAGGTGGTTTCCGAAGAAAGTCTACTGACAACCAATCAAATGGACAGAAAAATGATTCGTCAATGGATGCTAGAGTCTCTGTTGATCCAGATGCTTTTGGAATTCCAAACGCTAATGATGGGTCATCTTTGGATCCTTCTTTGCAACCACCAAGGGTAAAAGAGTCTTTGCGCCATACTTTAAAGCCTCGAGCAGTTAGGGCAGAATCATCTTTGCGGCCTACCGGAAAAACGGAATTTGCTCTACGGCCTTCTGCCGGAAACACAGGGTCTCCGGTTGGGGTTGGTGGAACAAAATCATCTCCACACCCCGAATCGTCTGCACAACAACCACTGCCTATCGGATCTTCTCTTGCTCCACCTGCTCCTGCCGTTGATACTCCTCCACCTCCAGCTCATGTTGTCCCTCCTGTACAGCTTACCGAACCTAAACCTCATTCTGCTGAGCTGCCACCTCCTCAAACTCAAGGTGTGTCGCCTCCTCATTCTCAAACTCAAGGAGCGTTGCCTATTCCTTCTCAAACTCAAGGAGCGCCGCCTCCTCCTTATCAAACTCAAGGAGCGCCGCCTCCTCCTTATCAAACTCAAGGAGCGTCACCACCTCCTTCGCAAACTCAAGGAGCACCGCTGCCGCCGCCACCAACCGGGGGAATACCACCCCCACCGCCACTATCAGTTGAAGGATCAGGAGCACCACCTCCACCGCCACCTACCGGAGGATCGGGATCAGGAGCAGGAGCACCTCCTCCACCGCCCAAACTTGGCTGGAATGCAGGTGCACCTCCACCTCCTCCTCTACGTGGATCTGTGGCACGACCATTAAGTGCAGCCTTGAGACTTCGCCGGACAGAGCAAGTTGATGCTTCTAAAGCTAAGCTAAAGCCATTCTTCTGGGATAAGGTTATGGCTAAACCTGATCAACAAATGGTTTGGGATAAGATCAGATCAGGATCATTTCAGTAAGTTTTATCGACTCTTTCTCCTTTGGTATTTACATTTTGTACACGTAAGCTTCAAAATCATAACGTGTATGTTCCTCAATCAAATAGGTTCAATGAAGAAATGATTGAAAGCTTATTCGGGTATCAAGCGGCTGAAAAAAACAAAGATCAAGACACAAAGAATGCTGCCACGAAAAACAAAGATCCCCCTGTGCATTTCGTTCAAATTATTGATCCAAAAAAGGCACAAAATTTGTCTATTCTCCTAAAAGCACTTAATGTGACAACAGAAGAAGTTTCTGCTGTGCTTATAGAAGGTAATTCTTTTGTCTTCATATTCGATTTTATTCTCCCACCTGAAATCGAAAGCATCTAATTTTTATGAGTTGAATCAGGAAATGAGTTACCAATAGAAATCGTTCAAACTTTGCTAAAAATGGCGCCCACTAGTGAAGAAGAATTGAAGCTGAGGTTATACGATGGGGATCTTCATCGACTTGGACCTGCAGAACGATTTCTAAAGGTTTTGGTTGAAATACCTTATGCATTCAGAAGACTAGAATCCTTGTTATTCATGTGCACACTTCAGGATGAGGAATCCAACATCAAAGAATCCTTGGAAACCTTAGAGGTTAGTGTGTTGAAATCTCTGCATCAAAACATAACCGTTTTTGTGTTAATTAATTTTTATAAAAAATTTTAAAAAAAAATTCACAGGCTGCTTGTGTCCAACTTAAAAAAAGTCGGTTGTTCCTCAAACTGTTGGAAGCTGTACTAAAAACTGGGAACCGTATGAACGTGGGAACATTCCGTGGCAGTGCAACCGCTTTCAAACTGGACACACTTTTGAAACTATCAGATGTCAAAGGAGTCGATGGAAAAACAACTCTTTTGCACTTTGTAGTTCAAGAGATTATGCGATCAGAAGGTATACGGGCAGTCCGGTCAGCCAAAGAAGGGAAAAGCATCTCCAATATCAAAACCGAAGATCTTCTTCTAGAACCTCCTCCTGAAGAAGCCGATGAACATTACTGCAAATTAGGGCTTGAAGTTGTTTCATGTTTGAGTAGCGAACTTGAGGATGTCAAAAGAGCGGCGATTATTGATGCAGATGGGTTGACGAGTTCGGTTTCGAAACTCGGGAATGCGCTTTTGAAAGCACGTGAATCGCTGAATACGGATATGAAGATTTTGGAAGAACAATTGGAAGAGGAAGTGGATGAGTTTTGGTTGATTTTGTCGACTTTTGTTGAGAATGCTGAGAAGCAGATTACGTGGATGCTTGAGGAAGAAAAGAGAATAATGGCGCTTGTGAAAAGTACAGCGGATTACTTTCATGGGAAATCTGGGAAGGATGAAGGGTTGAGATTATTCACGGTTGTTCGGGATTTTTTAATTATTTTGGAAAAAGTAGTTAAAGAGATTCAGGCTGCACCTATCAAGCCACTAAAGAAGAAAGATGACATGTCATCGGGTACACAAAAGAAAGAGGACATGTCATCGGATCCTGAAAGAAAAGATGATCAGAATCAGGCGACGAATGGAGGACCTACGTTGACCCGGATACCGAATTGTCAAATTCCTTCTCCTCCAGATTAAGGACAACACATTTATGCATAGTTCTAGTTCTAGTTTAGCAAAGATGGTGATTAGTCCACATATTTTTCGAGTCACATAAACCAGGTATTGGGTTTTACACGTTATAAGATTACATTACATGGATTTGTATGTTGTTCCTGTAGAAAAAATGTAGACAAATCAACCACCCCAATCTGATTGTGGTTGAGAAATCAAAATCAAATGACCCCAAGAACACACCTTGAAGGCTCTATAAAAACAAAACAATAATGATATAACCAATCAATAGAATAGTTAACCGAATAATGAACAATCAATATAAACAAACAAGGTAAAGAGATCAAACAAAAGGTAAGTTGAATCCCGAACACAACAAAAGGAGAGGATGAACAGGTCCACGTCCACTTATGGGGGTCAAGGGGAAAAGCTTTGGTGGTGGTCCTACAGACTATTCATTGGTGGGTCCAGGGACAGCTCATCGAAACCTCTACAAAGTTTAGGTTGGAAGTTCGGTGGAAAAACATGATTAGAGCAAATGACAAAATGAAAGAAGACATATTTTGTGAAACATCCCAAAAATGCAACCCGAAAATTTCATTTTTTATCAGTAATAAAACCATATTCATCGAACGTCATATAAGAATCATAAACAAGGTATCTCAAAATATCATAACAACTGTCAAATATATCAGAGTATAAACATCCCAGGCTGAACAAATGGTGTGTGCACTGCAATCTTCCCGAGCTCCTCTTTTGAAAACTGAGTACCTGAAACCAAAACTGAAAACCGTAAGCACGAAGCGTAGTGAGCTCCCCCAAACTACCACATACCATACAATAACATATAAAGCACATACTGGGCCTTGCCCACTGCATCGGACCGAAGTCCAGACTAACTGGGGCCTTGCCCCCTGCATCGGACCGAAATCCGGACTAACTGGGGCCTTGCCCCCTGCATCGGACCGAAGTCCGGACTAACTGGGGCCTTGCCCCCTGCATCGGACCGAAATCCGGACTAACTGGGGCCTTGCCCCCTGCATCGGACCGAAGTCCGGACTAACTGGGGCCTTGCCCCCTGCATCGGACCGAAGTCCGGACTAACTGGGGCCTTGCCCCCTGCATCGGACCGAAGTCCGGACTAACTGGGGCCTTGCCCCCTGCATCGGACCGAAGTCCGGACTAACTGGGGCCTTGCCCCCTGCATCGGACCTAAGTCCGGACTAACTGGGGCCTTGCCCCCTGCATCGGACCGAAGTTCGGACTAACTGAACATAGCATAACATGATCATAGCATATGACATAAGCACATATACTGCATACTGCATCGGACCGAGGTCCGGACTAACTAACACATAAATATGCCTGAATCACAAAGACATCAAGCATACTGAACTACTGCATCGGACCAAAGTCCGGAACTACTGCTATCTAAAGGGGCCGACATTGTGGCCGTAGACCCGTTCCTACTGGAAGGAAAACTCACCTCACACTGCTGAAGTCCCGTAGACACAATCCCACACTGCTGAAGTCCCGCAGACTCAACCCCAGCTGCTGGATGACAGATTCCCGAACTGTCAACACCAAAATAACACCCAATTACTAATTGGGTTCTAACACATAACTATAAATGCATACTTTGGATAATTACTACATTACCCCTAGCTTGGCTTACCCAAGCCCAAGGCCCAATCCATAGGCCCAAAGTCAACTAGCGTTAAAAGCCCAACATATGGCCCAATTTTCCAAATTGGGGCCAAGCCTCTACATAGACTTCCCTTAAGGCCCAATTGATCATTCCAGTCCAACATGTCTCATTCTAGGGGCCCAATATCATACAACCATCTAGGCCCCAACTATGGCCCATCTATGGCCCAATTTTCCAAATTGGGCCCACACCCTCCTATGGACATTACCCTAAAGCCCATTAAATTATTCTAGTCCATTTGCTTGTTCTTGGATGGCCCAACACAAAGCCCAAGTGAAATTAGGGTTTCACATAAAATGATAACTAGGGTTAAGTGTTTCTTACTTAACCCATTAAGGACTTAATCCATTAAGGAGTTAATCCATTAAGTCCTTTACTCTACTAGATAATTGATATGGAGAAATTGGGCTTAATACACAATCCAATCTCAATGGCCCAAAAATGGGTCCAAATAAGTCCAAGGCCGAAATACTCATAATTAGGGTTTTTCACCCAAACATGGCCCAATAGGCCCAAAACTAACCCTTAAGCCCATTAGGGTTTTGCTAAGTGGGGCACCACCCACTACCACCTCGGGTAGTGGTGGTCCATGGCGGCTCACGGCGGCGGCCACCACCTTACGGTGGTGGTTATTATTTTTATTATTCAATGCTAATTACAGTTACAAACTTTATCCAAAATAATCCAAACTCACTAACACACACACTAACTAATTCACACACTAATTAACACACACACACAGCCACACCATGGTGGCCGGTGGCGGTACAAGGCGGCAGCCACCACCCTATGGTGGTGGTGATGTCTTTTCCGGGAATTCCAGTCATACACACATACACTCACCAACTGCAACACACCCATCTTCATGTCTTTTGCTCGGAAAAAGAAGCTAACCACCCGCCTGGCGGTGTATGGCAGCAGCAGTAACAACCCTTACGATAACAGCCACCACCTCACGGTGGTGGCGGCGGTTCTGTTGATTCTCAGCCAAGAAACACACGCCCATAGCACCAAAACTCGCACATCCACCTTCGAATACGCACCAGCCCCGGCCACCCCTGTGGCGGCGTGAAGCAGACGAGCAGAAAACGACGGAATATTCATCGGGATCCCACAGCGTCGCAGCACCGGGCAGAAGCGGAGAAGAGAGGAAGAATATAGTAGGGAGGTGGTCGTACGACATCCAATCAACAGCAACGACTAGGCTATCTCGGACCTCCACCGCTCATAACTAGACATTGACTTCATAGCTCACCCTTTTCTGTTCACAGCGCAGAAACCTGGTCTCGGTGGTCCTTGTCGCTCACAGCGTCGCCGACAGTGGATAGCGACTTTGTCCGCATCGGAAATGTGAGTGGAAGGGAGGTGGCGACTGAGGAGTCACAAGGTGTGAAGGTGGCGGCTGGAATAGTCTTCTAGGGTTAGGGTTCCCGAAATACATATATACCCTGTGCCATTAAACTTATTTCCATATTGACAGGATCAGCCCTTCCTTCATTAAAACTTTTCAACTTTAATCAGTTATTTACTCTCTTGCCCCTGGTTCCATAATTCTTTTCATAATAGATCCCCATATTACCAGTAAGCCCCCTAAGCCTTCGAATCTTTTCAATTTAAACCCATTTATTACCCAACGGAGCCTGGCTTCTGAAATCCTTTTCCAATTAAGTCCAGAACTTGCACTTTTAACCCCCGACTTTTAAAATTCTTCACAAATTAGTCCGAGACTTACATTTATTAATTTATTTAAATAAACGGGGCGTTACAACTCTCCCCCACTTAAATTAGATTTTGTCCTCGAAATCACTTCTTACCATTCCTTACATGCTAACTACTCCAGGTTCCCACTAGAACAACTGAATTCACAGATCCACTTATCCCTGCGATCCACTTATACTTGGCCATAACTCAGATAATCGTGCTATGAGTGACTTGCCACTCCCCAAGCTATCCATGAAAATCCAAAATACCATTACCGCTGGAGACCCAACACTGTCTGAAACACTGATCTGCCTGGAAACACTGTACTGCCTGAACACTGATTGCCTGAAACACTGAACTGCCTGGAACACTGAACTGCCTGAAGCACTGAACTGCCTGAAACACTGAACTGCCTGAAACATTGAACTGCCTGAAACACTGAACTAGCTGAAACACTGAACTGCCTGGAACACTGAACTGCCTGAAGCACTAAACTGCCTGAAGCACTGAACTGCCTGGAACACTGAACTGCCTGAAGCAGTATGCTGCTACATAGTTGCTTCTCAAAATCTTCCGAGGCCTGCCTGGCCTCAACTCGTTCGCCAATCATCTGAAATACTGGGTTCTGGCCCGGTTGCGGAGCCAAAGGACTCCCACTTAGTCGCCTCACACGAATTCTGAACAAATTCCTTCTCTAGAACTGGTTGCCACTAGTTACCATGCCACTGAGGCTCTAATAACTTTCTGATCTAACTGATCGAGTCCATACGTCGAATCCTGCCGTCACCAAACCCAAGGCTAAAAGTGATTGCTACATGACCATTGGTAGCCTCATGTCATAAATGACCTTAAGCAGTCCACTGCTTCCTTGCTCTCTTATCTGTAGTGGCGCTTCTACAATCTTATCACTGGCTTAACCAGGTCTAATCCGTTTGGGAAATTCCGAAATCCAATCCGTGGATTTCCATATCCTCACTGCTACACCCGAACTGGTGGTTACTATTGTTCTTCCCGCGTCCTAGCAACGCACTCACGCTATCTACCAACCTAGTGAATGCTACGGCTACACCCACAGACTTACAACACTCTATCACTATCTGCTGTTAGTGAATGCTACGGCTACTCCCGCAGACTTATAACACTCTAATACTATCTGGCTGCTAGTGAATGCTACGGCTAGACCCGCAGACTTACAAAACTCTAACACTATCTGGCTGCTAGTGAATGCTACGGCTACACCCGCAGACTTACAACACTCTAAAACTCTCTGGCTGCTAGTGAATGCTACGGCTACACCCGCAGGCTTACAACACTCTAATACTATCTGGCTGCTAGTGAATGCTACGGCTACACCCGCAGACTTACAACACTCTAACACTATCTGACTGCTAGTGAATGCTACGGCTACACCCGCAGACTTACAACACTCTGACACTATCTCATTCGCTGGTTACTGATCCGAACACATACAACGTCGAGCATATACACGACCTAGCATCCAAAACTAAACCCATGTCTTGACTGGAATCCCCAAACTGATTCCCGAAGGCTTGCTAGCAACATTCCGAGAACGCGATCTCATCATTGGCAAGTTTTTTTGAACTTCCATCTCACA